CCCCCAAAACCCCAAAACCCCAAAACCCCTTCAGCGAGGAAATAAATTGACGTCATGGTTCGATAAAATAATTAATTCTCAATGGAGAAAAGTGGATTTACGAAGATTTTAGATGTTATTAGAGGCACACAAGTCAAGGATATCCCAGGACTGATCTGGAAGTTCCACCAGAGATTTGGGATTTTGAAGACACTTGCTATTTTGTACATCCTGGCTGGATTCACCTTCCTTTGGCTCAAAGCAAACGGCCTTTGGTTTAAGAAAAGTATCAGAGGCAAGCATGTGTTCATCACCGGTGGCGGATCAGGTCTTGGTAGAGATATGGCACTTATATTAGCCAAGAAGGGTGCTAAGGTCTCTGTGTCTGATATCAACTTGGAGTCCGCACAAGAAACTGTTGAGATGGTTAAAAGTTCGAAAGGAAAAGCCCATGCTGTAGCTTTGGATGTGACGAACCCGGAAGATATTACCAAAGCTCATGAAAGTGCTAAAGAACAGTTTGGAGTAGTTGATATCTTGATAAACAATGCTGGAATCACATTTGGTAAGGTATCCTAGGTAAAGTCTTATAGGGAGAAGTATAGTGAACTCGACACCAAGAGAGATCGATCTTGTGTACAAAGTCAATGCAATTTCTCATGCATATATTGCAAAACAATTTCTGCCAGATATGATTAAGCAAGATTCAGGGCATGTCGTCACCATCTCATCTGCAGCTTCAACAGTCGGAGTGGCTAATAATGCTGATTATGCTGCTTCTAAATGGGCTTGCTTTGGGTATGACGAGAGTCTGAGATCCGAACTAAGGAAGATGGGATCTAAAGTAAAGACTACATGCATTTGCCCGTACTACATCAACACCGGAATGTTTGAGGGTGTGAAGTCTAAAGTAAGATTTTATTTTCATCAGAAATTAAGTTTCGAACTATAGTGACCAATACTCTTACCCTTCCTTGACCAGAATTGGACTACAAGAAGGATCATCAACTCCATATTGCAAGAAGAGCCTGTCACCTACATGCCCTTCATGGTGAATCTAAATGGACTTTTAAGAGCTATTCTTCCAACATGCTTATTTGACTCAGTCCAAGATTTGGTTGGAACTTCTTCTGGAATGGATACTTTTGTTGGCAGAAAATAACTTAGGGTTTCAATCAAAATATGTCAGTCTGGGGTTTTGGGGTTTTGGGGTTTTGGGGTTTTGGGGTTTTGGGG